GGAGGGACTCAGGAAACCCCTTGCATGGGGACTTGTATAAATTGTCTTGCCGATTAAAAGGATTTCAGTTGACTCCCAAAACTGTGTCTCGTCCGGTTATTGGGAGGTTGGGGATATTGCCTGGTTGTTTTCAGCGCTTGACTGTGGATTCGTTTCTGGACCAGCGGAATTTGTGGATTTATTATTGGCGTTCCGCTACACTGACTTTATACACACACACACAGACTGCTGAGTCCATACATACACACACAGACTGCTGAGTCCATACACACACAGACTGCTGAGTCCATACATACACAGACACACAGACTGCTGAGTCCATACACACACACAGACTGCTAAGTCCATACACACACGCAGACTGCTGAGTCCATACACACACAGACTGCTGAGTCCATACACACACAGACACACAGACTACTGAGTCCATACACACACACAGACTGCTGACTTTATACACACACACAGACTGCTGAGTCCATACACACACAGATACACACACACATACACACAGATTGCTGAGTCAATACACACACACAGACTGCTGAGTCCACACACACACAGAGTGCTGAATCCATACACACACAGACACACACACACATAGACTACTTAGTCCATATACACACACACAAACACAGACTGCTGAGTCCATACACACATACACACACACATAGACTGCTGAGTCCATACACACATACACACACACAGACTGCTGAGTCCATACACACAGACTGCTGAGTCCATACACACACACACACACACACACACAGACTGCTGTGTCTATACACACACACAGACAGACTGCTGAGTCCATACACACACACACAAGCTTCCTCACTAACAGACACACACACACACAGACTGCTGAGTCCATATACACACACAGTGACTGCTAAATTCCATACACACACATAGACACACAGACTGCTGATTCCATACACACACATAGACTGCTGAGTCCATACACACACAGACTGCTGTGTCCATACACACACACACACAGACAGACTGCTGAGTCCATACACACACACAAGCTTCCTCACTAACAGACACACACACACACACACCAAGCCTACCTGTCACTGGAGGCTGTTGCACAGGCAGCCATCTTCTGGCATTTCCAGCAGCAGCAAGGTCTGCTGCTTAATGGCGGGGTGAAGCTTATGTGCAGGAGGTGGGCCTTCATTTGGGGGCGATGCCTGTGCTGGGGAGCCTGTCAGTTCTCACTCCAGCCCCAGCATCTCTCCACGGACAGCACCCAGAGCTCCAGGTCCTTTGTCTCTGCATTCCCTCGGGCTGTAACAGATTGTTCCAGGAAATGAGCTGGTTTAAATGTTATTTTATTTAAAATTACATAAGAATAGATCTTAATTACCTAGGAGATCTAGCCAGCATTGAAAGAGTTATTCTAAATGTCAGCTAAACTTTACGACCTTACGCTGCACTGAGAATTCTGTTCTCTGCTGAAACTTTTTCTTTCTCTCTGTGAAAGACAGTCATAAATCTTCTCTTGACAGCTAATGTTGTAGATTCTATACTGTGTTAACCAGTGGAAGTACAAAATTGCCATTTTGTATTGCATATCATTTTATACTGGATATTCATTGATTATTGTCACGCATGTTACATATTATTATTGTTAATTATTGGTCATAATAAAAATAAATCTATTTTTATAACATATTGTGATTTTATTTATATGAAATACTTTTCAATTACACGATAACGATCTTTGGGATCTGAGAATTGAATTGGTGAGCAATTCTCACTGTTTACTATTATTATCCCATAAATATCCCCACAAGACTGACAGGATATCTGACCTCCTGCCGGTCAGTGCCCATGTTAGTCCAGCAGCCCACCCACAAAACACAATCAGTAATACAGCCCACCCACAATAACTGGTTACTACACCTGGTTAGAGGAGAACTTTGTCCATGTCTAGATGCCTCACCCTGGCTGTGTGGGTGACTGGTAAGCTGACTTGGTGGGTTGCTGAGTGGGCAGAGACCAGTGGTACTCTGCCCTGGTGCCACCACTACCACGGGAGTAGTCTGGTTTGAGCCTGGTGGCTGGAGGGGGAGACCGACTGTCTCCCCTTTAGATACACAGCTCTACTGTCTCCCCTTTAGATACACAGCTCTGCTGCCGGAGGGGGAGACCAACTGTCTCCCCTTTGGCTAAACAGCCCTGTCGCTGGGGGGCAGGACCGACTGTCCCTACCCTCTGTGCTGTAAATGCAGAGACCACAGTCCCATCTGCACGGTTGTGGGGCTTAATGTCTCCCCGTGGTACGTTAAGCTACCGCTGAGGAGAGGGGGTAACAAGCTCCTCTCCCATACATACTTCCAGCCACGTGGGAGGGAGACCGACTGTCTCTGCTCCCAATACAGAGTCCTGCTGCTGGGGAAAGGAGACTGGGCTCTCTATTTCCTGTAGGACATTCTGCCGCTGGGGAATGGAGACAGGACTCCCAATTCCCTGCTTTATCTCCTGTTGGGGAATGGAGACTGGGCTCCAAATTCCCACTAACTCAGCCTGCCGCTGGGGAATGGAGACCGGGCTCCCAATTCCTTGCAATTCACTCTGCTGCTGGGGGACAGGAGCATCTATCTCTGTCCCCTGTAACTCAGCCTGCCACTAGGGAATGGAGACTGGGCTCCCAATTCCCTGATGTATCTCCAGCTGGGGAATGGAGACTGGGCTCCCAATTCCCAATAAATTACACTTCCGCTGGGGAATGGAGACCGGGCTCCCAATTCCCTGTAACTCACACTGCCGCTGGGGAATGGAGACTGGGCTCCCAATTCCCTGCAGTACCTGCCACTGGAGTTCCTCCCAACGTGCCAGCTGACCTTCTCTTTCTGCCCGGTATTGCAGATTCTTGAACACTCAGTCCCTCATGGACTGCACGTATTTCTCAGCTGGATTGGGTCTGAAGAACTTCAGCCGCAATTCCATCATATTGTCAAACTCTCTCCTTGAGTAGCTGTTCTCCACTGCTGGTTCCATCCTGGTGCTGTCAGGGTCGCTGTACTGGGACATGTGTTGCCCTTAACTTGTAAATCCAAAGAAATGGTGTCTCCTGTAGCTGTCCTTCTGGCTGTGGGAACGCTTGCCACCAATTGTAAAGGCACCCCCAGGCATAAAAGGGTTAAACCGCCATTTAGAAGATCTTCCCCTTTTAGAGACACAGGCACAGGCACAGCTACTGTAGACACCAATCCACCAAACTGGAGAAGCATATGACTGCCGTAAACAGCCGAATAGGAAAAACCATACGAGTAGGTTTACACTTCTAGCAGTCGAACTGGAACAGCATACAATAAATCCCCCCAAGAACGAGACAAAGCTCCGTGTTGAGGGTCAAGCAGTGAACAGACAGAGCTGTGGGTTTTTTTGTTCTTATTTACACATTAGTACCACCCACAGGGTGGCACCGAATGACCCGGCTTTCGTGTCTCCGCAGGGGAAAATCAAGCGTTTCAACATGGGGCCATAGTCTAAAGGCAGCAGGCGGGCAACCAGGCTCCTCCAATGCACAGTGGCGAGATTGGTCTCGTCACACTCATAACCAGTGAGAGTAAGACCAACACCGAAAGTGACTGAGCCAAAAAGACTGAGTGAAAGTAT